TTCAAAAAATGTAACATTGGCAGACATGTAATACTTCTTGGTTTCAGGAGAGTAACACCGATACCTTTTTGAAGGCGAGAATAGCCCAAGAAGACACATTTGATAGCACGAGCAGAAAACTTGTCTAACCTTGGAGATATATCATGAACAAAACATACATAACCAAAAACTCGAGGAGAGGTGTGAAAGAGAGGATTATTTGGAAATAGAATGGAGAAAGGGATCTTATTATTGAGAGAGGAAGATGGCATCCTGTTAAAATGGCATCCCCCAGTGATGGACAGGAATATGAGCACCCAACAAAAGAGTATGTGCAGTTTCAACCAAATGTCTATTTTTTCTTTCTGCTATATCATTTTGCTGTGGTGTATGAGGATAGGTGGACTGATGCAATATTCCATGTGAACTCAAAACAGCAGAAAAGGTGGATGAGAAGTACTCTTTAGCATTGTCACTTAAAATTTTGATTACTTGACCGAATTGGTTTTTGATTTCATTCAAAAAGGATGTAAAGATGGGTAACAATTCAGAACGATCTTTCAAAAGATAAACCCAAGTACATCGTGAATATTCATCAATGAATGTAACAAAATACCGAAAACCAAAAGATGAGATGCGACTGGGTCCCCAAATATCAGAATGAATAATAGAGAAATTGGAAGTACACTTTGATTGAGACCTTTTAGGAAAGGTAGATCTAACATGTTTTCCTAGTTGACATGACTCCCATTCTAAGGTCTGGAGACCACTAAGTTCAGGAGACATTCTTTTTAATTTTGACAAATGAGGATGACCAAGCCGATCATGTAACATTTTAGGGCTCGGAGTAGCAACACAGGACACACGTGGATGAGGGCCAAAAAGGTATAATCCTCCAGCTTTATATCCTTCTCCAATCCGTCTCCCCGAACCACGCTTTTGTATTGAAGGTTATTGAACAATTTAAGGTTTTGGTTAACTAGCTTAAGGAAATTAAATTGAAAGGACAATTAGGAACAAAAATGACATATTTTAGGCTTATGGAGGGAGACAAGGAAACTTGGTCCACTCTCTTTGAGGAAGCTTTAGAGCCATCTGCAAGGGTTATGAAATGTTGTTTTTCTTGAAAGGAAATGGTTGAGAACAAGGAGGTATTACCAGATATATGATCAGAAGCACCAGAGTCAATTACCCATGAATTTTGACTCTCCACAGATTGAGAAATGCAAATAGTTGATGTGCTGGCACTTTGAGAGGTATGTGCCAAGCTATTAGACTTCAACCGTAGATACTCTTGGTATTCGTCCTCAGTGAACTTGGAGTCGACGATTTCAGCCCTTAAGAAATTGGCGGTTTTGGGAGGAAAACCATGCAAGGAGTAGCAGTTCTCCTGTGTATGACTCATCTTGTCCCAACCTCCACGTCCTCCTCCTTTGGTGCCACGTCCTCCTCTTCCTCGTGTGGCAACCATGGCAGATGGTTATACTAGAGCAAGAGCTTCCTGAGTTTCAGGCATTGGTACACGAATCAGGCGTGTGATAAGGGTATCCATGGAAGGAAGGGACTTCATAAGTGGTCAAAAGTTTATCTCTGATATGGTTAAAGTCAGGATGTATTGCGCGAAGGATCATCACATGTAATACTTGTCAAGCTTCTTCTTCATTTCATCCAAGGAGTCGACTTCCAAGAACATCTTTAGTTCTTCCACAGAAGACTGAGCGTCATTCATGAAGGACACCATATCATCATCTGTTTTAGAGATGTCAGCTTATTTGCGGAATCATAGAAACGTTGGATATCATTGGCATAAATGGTTTGAGTTTTCTTCCAAAAGGAGTGACAAGTTTTGAAGGCTCTAAGCGACATCAAAAGTCTTGGTTCCACTGATTACCACAATAGAGCACATAGTTGAAAATCTGTCTGTTTCCACTGTTCAGCTTTTTCTTCTGGCACATGGCTTCGGTCTTTTTCAAGGTGGTCGTGATGCCTCTGATCGAGAAACCACATTTCGACGGCAGCAGACCAAGATAGATAATTTTATCCGTTTAGCTTTTCGAAAGTAATGGAGGGGCTTCCAAAGAATGATATTGCAGCCATTTCTAATCAAGAGGACAAAGACTGGTGAGGGGGCGAAAACAGTAAGGAAGGCCGAAAGCCCAAGAGTGATTTTCGAAAGGGTGGCTATTGGACTTCATCGAAATGAAGTTCTGAGGGCCAGAACAGGGAGAAGAAGCTCCGGCACGAAGAAGACGGCGTCGCAGCGACGTTCCGACACGAATAAGACGGCGCGTGGATGACACGCGTCAGATGCAGTGGAGACAGAGGCGGTGTGTGGAGGCGGTGTGTGGAGGCGAACAAGCTTCCGGGACCGGTGGGGTTGGCTGAAGCGCGGCGAGACGATTTAGATCTGGTGGTCACCGGCGAAAACTGGACAACCAGAGACGGTGGCCGGCGGCGGAGATGGTGGTGCCGGAGACTACAGAGACAGGCAGAGCGGGTCGATACCAACTTGATATTCAAAACAGAGAAAAAGTGTTTTTAGAGGGCTTTTAAGAACCCCTCTCATGTTTCTCTATTTATATAGATAAAAAGAGATACAATAGGGAGATTACATTAAATGCACAATCCTAGACTACTCCTCATAACTAGGTGCAGAGATTATCTAACACTCAACCCCCTGCAGAGATTATCTAACACTCAACCCCCTGCCTTAGGTATAATGATCATATATATTTTCTAGCCTTAGGTATAATGATCATATATATTTTCTAATCTATTCCAACATAGACATTCAAAAGATCAATTGTAGGTATAATGATCATATATATTTTCTAATCTATTCCAACATAGACATTCAAAAGATCAATTGTAGCATCATGAAGGCAACTTCAGTCAGACTAGAGGAAAATGGGATTGTGAATTTCTATAAGTACTTAAGAATGCATAAGGCACTCTCAGGAAAATGTAAACAATGCCTCATTGAATCAATCATACTCATATATGACACCACAAATGATAAAAACCAGTTTACGCAGATTTATCATGCAACCTTTTACTTTTACTTTTTGCAATCTGGTCGATTATCAATCCAAATAAAAAGACATCAAAGAAATTAATTGGTATAAAACTGTTTAACCAAAGTAGAAGGCAGAGATTAGTTTACCCAGTAAAAATCAATGATTATGTTTCCAGACGAGCCTGAATCTGTAGAAGATGGTACCACGTGACCCTAGCATGCATAACACAAATCACAAAATTCATTTCGAATTAATTTGAAACAGATAGTTCGTAATTTCTGCTATTTAGCTGTCTCACTTTTATGTACAAGAAAATACAGAAGACAAAGCTCCCGAAGATTAGTGCTGAATATATTTCTCCCAAATGATCATAAACAATTGTAGGGTTGAATATTCCAAACCTGAAAAAAGCGTTAAAAATGACAAGTCGTTCGTCACTGAAAAAGTAACAGACAGAAACACACTGCTTCGCAGAAAAAGCTTGTAAAGCTGGATGGTATTTATTAGCCTACCTACCTCGATGAAGCTGATAAATTCAAAAGAATATTAGCATTTTCCCCCCTTTTGTTCAAGCCAACATATCCAATAGACATTATAAATAATTGCAGATCATAACAAGTTCCATTCCCAGTGAATCTGAATACCATGTCTTGGAATTTCTATTATCGATTATTTATTGCTCGTGATTGTGCAAAAATTGGATCTGTGTAGTAATAAGATGCATTTAACAGAGAATGGTTGTCAGAAGAAAGAAATGTTGAGGCGTAAAAGGCTCACCACCAAAGGGCAATATAAGTAATCAAGGTGACAAAATAGGCGGCGACACCATTTGCCTGAAGAAAGGAAAAGGGAGAGCGGTTAGTGAAGTGAAGTGAAGTAAAGGGTTTGATATATGAAGGAGTGGGGTGGCTTTGAAGTGAGGTAAGAGGAGTGTTGACCTTGTAGACAGGTCGATGGCCAGTTGGAGAAATAGGGCCGTAAACGGTTTTGCCGGGGAGAAGGAGCTGAAGCGCTGCTTCAAAGGCGGCGTAGACGGCAATGATTTTGCATGCAGTAGCAGTTGGCTTGGGCCATATATGCAGGAAGCCCTGTACCCCATTGTGGCTCAGATAATTCCATGTCTGAGAAACAGATCCATCAGCATGCGTCATGGTGTACCATCTGCATGCATTCAATTCCATTTCAGAAGTCATTCAGATCAGATTTTATCATGTTGGATTGAAATTCAAAATAACAATGATGAAGCAATGGAGATAAGGAAATGGATTAGGGTTTAACTCACAGGAGAATCACAAATGGAGGACAGAGCGTGAGAAGAGAAATCATGGAAGCATAAGTGACGAGCGGTGAATGCACTGTGTCACTGCTGCTGGACTTCGACTGCCCCCCCATCTTTTTTCTTCGATTCAATCAACAATCTCTCTCCCTCTCTCTCTCTGCAAACTCTCGCAGAAGATCATACAATCATTCGTTCAGACTCGGAGATGACCACACCATATACACTCAGTCCACTCCCACACGCACACCATTTTCCACTCAAAACCATCCTATCCGTCCAATTTTAACTCCTCTCTAATCCCAACCATTCATTTTTTTCTTCTCTGCCAATCCAATTTAATTAATGCTTCAAAAAATTTTCAAGATCCAGAGAGGTTCACTTTCAATATTTTAAGAACTAAACCATCCATTTTCGTAACAGATAAAAATCTTTAAAAAAATGCTGAATAATTTCTTCTATTAATTAATCTGTTAATTGAAGTCTGATTAGTGCCAAGTTGTATAATTTCAATCGTGAAATTGTGTATTTATATGTTTTTTTTAATCTTAAAAAAGACATTAATTTGGTTGAGGTGGACCTCAGTTTCGTAATTGTGATGCTCACATTTGAGTCAAATTCATGTCAATTGACTTAATCAGTGTCATAAATAACAGGAAAGGAAGAGTGGTTACAAATATTTACTAGCTAGCAACAGTAGAAAATTAACGAGAACAGGATGAATTTGATCAAAGCTCGCTGTGTGTTTTTCCATTTGACTCTGAGTCAGAGCGAGAGAAGGTGCTCTTGACATTGTGAACGGTCTGAGCTGCTGATTTTGCTGCATCCTCCAAGTTATTTGCTAAAGCTTCTCCTGCTTTCTCCCCTGCTTCACTCACGCCTTCTCCTTTCTCCTCTCTTCTAAAACTTTTTCAAATAAAAACCCATCACAACATAAATGATTGATTGATTCATAGTCACAGAAATTAATGAAGAAAGAATGGTATATACCAATGCCATGCGCACTCTTACTCTATATTTGGAGGAAACAACCGGACATAGGCGTGATTGAGAAGGCCTTTAAGCATGTGCCAACCACACTTCGCAATACTTGAAGGAGAAAAGAGTGCCAAATAGGTAGAATAAGCGCTTCTTAGTCTCTGCCACACCCACAAAGATTGTTTCTTCTTCTGCTCTTCATCATCTGCATTAGCATTGCAGCCACAGAAGCACACCATAATGAACACCAACAGTAAGACCCTCACCGACATGCGGACTTTATCCATCACACGAAACTTCATTCATAGTCTTCTCCTTCACTCAGTGTTAGCTTATGTACACGTTCGTGATTCACCGAGTGTTGTGTTATGTCACACCACAATGTACCTCTGCTTAACACGTTGCTTCTTTTCTCTCTCACTCACCCTTCTCTACACTACACGTTTCACTTGCCTTATCCCCCTTCTAATTTGTATTTATAATAATAATAATAATAATAATAATAATAATAATATTACTTTATTAAGAATCATTATGTACCAAAACTATTTGCCCTAAAGGGCATATTCATTTCCTTTTTTAGAGGCATGCAGAGAAAAACGCATTTTTCAAAAAATCTACTGAATAAAATAATCACTATTCATTCTATAACTATATTTTCAATTTTAAAAATGTTCACTTCCGCAATGTGGTATATCTGAATAATATGACCCATTATGCAAAAGCAGCAGTGCTTTGATATTTAATTAGATTAGATGCCTATTACATTAAAAAATCAAGACAAAAATTAACAAGTTTCTAAAGACAGAGCACATATGTGATGAAAATTATCAATACCGTGCGATTGTGACGAGAGATATAACTCATAGGTACAACGTACATTATTCTACAATTATTTTCATGATGAATAATTCGCTTAGAAATTGAAAGATGGCAAACCATGCATCTCATCTCCTAGAATTCCTTAAGTTTTAAGTCTCAATATTCACTTTCGATTTTTGTTTCATTATCATGATACTCCTTAATAAAGTTTCACCAATAGGCAAATGTATAGCAAGCTAGTTCATTCATGCGAGCCAGCAAATAAAGCCGTTTGGTTATTGGCTATATTCAATCCTTTATCGGCAGCTCAACATGATCTAATTCACAAATGTTGTATGATAGATTCCTTTGACAGTTTTAAACAAACAAAAGTCCTTCTGAATACACAAAACTTCTCACTATATGAAACCACGTCCATTGAAAAGTTCCCAAAAATAAACGAATAAGAATTTCCATTAGCTATACAACAAACTAGGAGTTGAGTGTGGAGGAAAAAAGAAATCACCATATCAATGGCAGAATCATCACACTTACCAACAACGCTATATGCTTACAAAATACAAACAAGCACCAGCACCAGCACCACCATCATTTTGGACATGGGAAGACATATTTCATTAAAGAAGAATACCTAGGAGGTTACCAGAGAGGATGACTACACTGGAATGACATCAATCTTTGACGTGTCTTCACATCTCAAAACAATACCCTCGAGGCTAGCTGGAAATATACATTTGGCCCATTGGCATCCGGTAGTCAAAGGCTCGGGTGGAGGGACAATCATAAGCACATTGTCATTTCTTTGAACAACTCCCATTACACTAACCGTGCTACCTTCTTTGATGTACCTACAAAAAGATCAATGAAAGATCCATAAGAACATCCTCCTCATCTTGATTTATCACAACTTTATTTTCTAGAAGCATTTTTGCAGTCAACAAAATAAAGTATTTTACCCTTCTTTTAATTGCATTATACGATCATCGCTAGAAAGTTTTCTATCTCCCAACCATCGAAGAAATTCAGGGGACATGTCTTTATTGCCTGGATTAACATCAATAACAATGGAATCATCAACATAAGGAGTCACCCTCGCACCATAGCCTGTTTTAACCAATGCTCTCAATCCGGATTGGAAATCAGAGATGTAAAAGTCCACCACATGCCTCTGCATTGAATAAAATGCAAGGGAAATGAATATAAACTTTAAGTTTCACATGTTATCCTGCAAAATCCATAATACTCGAGTGGCATCCCTGTACAGTCTAGCAACATTTGGGTAGGGGCTGCAAGGATCAAAACTTTTCTACAACATACAAGCAAACATTTTTATTTATGAAAAAAATCATACAGTTTTAAAATTTGGTACTCTCAAGAATATAATCAGCATTTTTCCTCCAACATGAAATTTTTGTTCCCCCAACATATGAAAACAGTTCAAAGAAGATGATAGCAGAAAGCTTAAATCAAATAGATTAGAATCTAATTCACATAGGCACACATACAATACTAGTATCATACAAGCATGAAGATATACCTATAACAGTAAGAATATTCTTAGTAGTCAAAGTGCAGAATGCCATCACCAAAAGCCCACACCACCAAATTCCTCGATTAAAAGCAAGAAGTACATTCAGTAGGATATGATAGCCAGAAAGAATAAGAAACAAAAGTAGAATGACAAGCGTGGCTTCATCTACTAGCAAGCCCATCTAAATCGAACAAATTCTGGAAGAACTTCAATTTAAGAAGGTTTTGCAAAATTCAAAAGTCTTACGTGTGACAATTAAGCTATTTTTCAGGGAAAAATTATGTAGCAGGACAATACACGTTGAGGTAAACTATCACTTCAACAAGGAAAATATTATATTAGGAGATGCTATCACTAGCTTTATTAGCTCCAAAGATCAAATTATCAATGCTTTACCAGTACCCTCAGGAAATGTTATTAATGTAGCAAGCTTGGTTCATAGAAATGCTATTATCCATATGCTCTAGCTTGTAAATGGGGTTGGAGATGTAATTAACCTATAATTTAGTTTGGTGTCCAGGCTCATTGTACATTGTACATAACTACATATAATTAGTTAGGCCCAAATTCAAGGTATATAATTTGTCAGTTCATATAATATAACTAGGGAAATTGTGATCCATGTATTAAAATAATATGAATTCAGTATATATCGCAAAACCTTCCTAAATTAGTCAGTTCTTATTAAAATAATATACATTGTGTATTTCGGAAAACCTTCCTAAATTAGTCAGTTCATATTAAAATGATATTCATGCAGTATTAATTTTTTTTTATTCTACAATCAACGGTTAAGTAAATGCATCTGTTTCTCTCTCCACAATTCATTTAAGCAAAGTATATTCAATTGGAAAACACTATCTTCAGTTCCATGGTAAATGCATACCAAGAAATCCTGAATAATTTATCAAATTTGAAATTTTGGCAAATCGATAAGTAAAGCCTGAACAGATTAATGTAATTACCTCAGCTGATCTAAGTCCCCATGTAAAACGCCGATGTTTTGGGTTTGCAGCTTTTGAATCCCATCCTCTATATTCATACAAGCTTGTGGATGTATAAACACATCGTGGAACTTTTTGAAAGGAGGACTCTAGGGGAACATTACCACAGGTAACCACCTTCAAAAAGTAGAATTAATTACAGATCTATTTCCTTCATTTAGGCATATATAAGTTAACAATAAGCAAAATGATGCAATTCCAGACAGGAGACATGAGTCAAACATTCACTTCACTGATGTAGGTAACATAAAAAGCAAAATACACCAAGCAACGGATGAATAATTAAATAATCAAAGTGTGGGTAGTTAGGTGGTTAGGTGTGCATGCATTTGTGTGTTGCAGGGCTGTTTTTCCCATGGTTATTTACTTAATCAATTGTATTATACATGCATGCGTAGTTCTAAGCTACGTACCCCAGAAACCTTCACAAATTGCCCATTCTTGGCAGTTCTGAGCTCTGCATCTGGATAACGGGATATGAAACCAACAATAGCTTTCCTTCCAAAACAACTATTCCAAGTGAATAATGCAGCAACCGCAGCAAAAAGAACTACGACAACAATGAGGAGAATGGCATTGCGAACAGCTCCAAGAATAAAACCACCAGCAATGAATCCCATAACAAAAATCAGAATCACGGACCACAATATCGGCTTTGGGAAGTTCCTCTTGAAGGAAAATTCATCATCTAGACTGAGAGTGGTTACAGCAGGATTGTTTGCTACAAAAGAAGTGTGTGATTTCATCGATCCTGTAGAATCTAATGGACCGGACACTTTCCTTGGAGCCCCAGACGAATTTAATGGGCCAGATGTGATAAGACCAGTTGTAGGAAGAACTGGAGGAATTGGACCAGAGTTTTGGCGTGTAACTCCACCAGATTGAGGGCCAGAAGACTTTTTGACTGGTTCCCCATGTTTATTCAGTGGACCAGAGTTAGTCTTTTTCATTGAGGCTGAAGCAGACATGCCTCCAGCAGATACGTTACCAGATGTAATATAAACAGAACGAGCTGCAGCGTTTTGCATGATGGGTCCAGAGTGTGAAGCAGCACCTGCAAATGATCCTGTCCTTGAAGGTGCGTTATTTATTGGACCTGACTTTCTAGATTTAGAACCTTCCATGGGGATATCAAACATTTTCCCTAATTCTCCTGATTTCTTAATGTCACCACCAGTATAGGGCATGGCAACTGAGCTCATTGTCGGAGTCTTTTCCTTCGGCTGCTCAGGCCGGCCTGATACATACAGGCCATTGCTGAGCTGATGAGATGGGAATCTTGAACCCATCACACTTTTTCACAGCAGCGCAAAAGAGGCGTAATTGAGAAACAGTACCAGTTTGATGAAACGGTTCCCAAAGTAATACTGCAAAACAGTTGAATGGAAATGACAATTGAAGTATAACTTTAGCCATAATTCAATACTCTAATGGATAGATCATCCATATGTATCTAAGGAGAAAGCATCCCACAAAAATTCTCATAGAAAAGCTCAATGAAGTAAATTCATATTTTTCCTCAGCTGATAATTAAGAATAATCATATTCAGTTAGAGAAACCAGATTAAGAGTTCAAATAAAGGGAACAGAAATGCAATGCAGGGTTTTTTGGTACCGAATGGTCGTATCAAAATAAGAGAGTTAATTAGTTTTGATTCATTGGGCCAAAAGAACCATAGAGAAGAGAGGAGTGTTATTGGAATTAGAAAATGTGAAAAGACAAGAGTGACTGAATTGAGCAAGTGCAAAGCAATGCGAGTGAATCAAGGATGAGAGCAAGTGAGTGTAGGAAATATGAGAAACGTGAATAATGCAGATATTTGCTTAATCCAGTGAAAGCAAAATTACATAAGAACATTGACCAGTGCCAGTGAACAGTGGGTGCATCTGGTTCTTCTTAATGGGAATTCCAACAAACTCCAGTTAACGTGTGTATTGAGTTTGTTTAGAGGAACAGTGAAAAGTAGGGTGAAGTATGAATGGTAAAAAAAGAAAATTGAAGATAGGGTTAGTGGATCTAGAGGAAGGAGAAACAGGGGAGTGATGGATCTCCCTGAAAATGAAAACATGTGGGGAGATCCATCCATGTAAATGAAGTGGAGTTAGAGAGGAGGAGTAAGGTGTTATTGCAATAAAGGAAAGATGGATGAGAAAGAGACATGGAGAAGGTGGGAGGTGGAATGACGAAGAAAAATAGGAAATGAATGGAATGGGAGAGAAGATGAATGTACCTGAAGATGGAAGATGGATGATTGAAGATTGAAGATTGAATGGAATCAAAGAGAGTGGTGATGAGGCTGAGTCTGAGATCCCATCTTCATACCATACCACTGCCCATCTCTCTCACTTCACACTTCAAAAACTTCTCTTTCTCTCTCTCTCTTGATACTGTTATTGTTCTTATTCGAAGTTAAAAACTCTCTCTCTCTCTTCAACCACTGGTAGGTTCTCTCGTCCCGCAAAAACCACCAAACAAAGCAACGTATAATTTATTTATATATTTCCAAAATGTCATTATTATTATTATTAACTCATCTATCACATACCTACTCTCTCATCTTCTTTTCTTGTTCAAATCCTCTCACATTATTAATTGATGCTAATAACAAAGCAAACCTATACTTTTCTCAATTTTATGAACACCATACCATGTAAAGCGTTTGTACCAAGTTACACAATTATGAAGAAAAAAATGGAGAATTTTACACTCGTATAGTTGGTGGAGCTTTATGGAATAAACAATTCATCCTGATAAATATTTCTTGGAATCAATCCTCGGATTTTCTTTCATCAACTTTTTCCTGTGAACCATATGTTGATATGAATGAATCACAGAATTACGAGAATAATTTTCTGATAATTTAATAAGACAATCAATTTTAATAATTTTTTTTAAAACACAATCAGACTTTAGATACAAAGTGTAATTTAAAAAAAAAACAATAACCTTAAAAATCCATTTTTAGCCTTTTACATTACAAAATAAAGTTCAATATTTTTAATTAGAATATACTTTTAAAGAAGAATATTTCCACTTTTATCATATTTTTAGTTAAACGTTATGAATATTTCAATATCTATAATTTAAAAAAATCTCATAATGTAAATTATTTATTATAGATATAAAATATATTTATAAATAATTATTTATTACAAATTATTACATAAAATAATTATTTATTTGTAGAATGTATGAAATAAAATATAAATTACTATTTCTTTTTTCACCAACAAACAATTATACTTTGTAATATAAATCAGGTTAATAAATAAATTGAAAAATCCCGTAAAAAAAATATGAATCTTCTATTGAAGCAAACGTAGTTATCATGCAATGTGTATCTGAGATTATAAGGCTTGTCTGATTATTGTAAATGATAAATTTTCCTTCTTTACCAATTCTGCAACATCCTAATAAAATAATATATGAGTTCAGATATGTAAATTTTTAATATATTTTATCCTTCGAATGTCACTTTTGCTTCAACAATAAGAAAATCAATTTCCACCCATGACGTGTGTACGCGTCTGTATATAACATACACGCACTTTGTTTAGTGTATATTTAACATTACTTTTTTGCATAAATAACTTTGGGACTGATGTAAGATTAAATTGTGACATTGATTTTGAATAGAGTTAATTTAAAATATATTTTATTAAGAAATATTCTTATTCTAAAACTTATATGAAAATCTCATTTAAAATTATTTTAAGTTTGAAATCAATTATTTAACATATAATAAACACATTATATTAATTATTCTTTCGAGGTAATGTTAAATAATCCTGTTAAATAATCAAACAAGAATCCAAAATTAAATTTAAACTTTTCATTATTTAGAATTTAATAAACCAGCTCAATCTAGTTTATGAAATTGGGATTTTCTGTGACTTTCAAAGACGTGAGATATGTAAATCGCAACCCATTAAAATGGGTTTAACAATGAAGAGCTTGAATTATCTGTGCAAGATCTTGAGTTGTACAAAGAATAATATGAAAAATTGGCGTAGTTGGAATATAGTGAGAAGTGAAACAGTTCTTATACATTAAATATATTAATATAATATTAATAAGATCTGCACTTCTTCGTACATACCAACTGTAATGCAAGTACATATGATCTGTAGGGCATTACATGTTCACAAATTGTCAACATAAATTCCTATTTGCACTTGGTTTGACACAAGGTCAGTGGCCAAGTAATCAAATCCAGGATCCAATATCACCCATCCCACCCCTCCCCCTTTTACATTTCTTTTAATAAAATATGATTTGGAGCTACTTAATTACCTGTTAGTGGTCTGCTGAAATTGCTAACACTAGATATGTAGGAAAAGGCCTACAACACAAGTTTGCGTATCCCCAAAGACACCAGTTCTTTTATTCTCAAGGCATATCATTTGGTTTGTTGTTAACTGTCGGAGCATATGCTTTTACGTCTTTAAATTACATTACTTGCAAGTAGCCACTAAAAATTTCATTTTAATTAGATACGTTGTTCCAACATTGTCCTATCATTAAGTAAAATGTACAACAATTTCAGGATTGCTTGTAGAAAGGTATTTCTAAAATTTTATGGTAGATGCTATTTCACATTCATTAAACCAGCCATACTAATACTCAAAAACAAATAAACAAAATATCTTATCAAGAAACATATTCATCACTTGTGGAAAAAATTCATTTATATTGAAAAAGACTAAATGTAACCCATATTCATTTCTTCGAAAAACGTACATGAGGATAATAATTTTAAGCATATCTTAAGAGGAGAAAAAGTAATTTACTCCACAAGAAAAGAAGGCACCATTGTACCTTAAGTGTGAAAAGAAAATGGACAAAAGCTCCAGTTAAAAGAGGTAATTAAATTGATGATAACTCGATGATTACAAATTGATGAAAGGCATTAAAAGTTTGAATTGAAAATATTAAATTGATTTTGCTGGTGTTAAAATATATCAAATGGTACATATTAAAAATATCAGCATCTAAAAACATAAATCATGATAACATTAAGATTGTCAAGAAATGTCAAACACAAATGGATCGACAATACTAGTGCTAAAAAGAAACATATTAGAAGGAAACTAACGAAATACATAATGATCCACTGAACAATTAACAAAGATTTTGCAATCTTGTTGGCTTGTCGATTGTCAAATGTAATTTCAATTCAAAGGCAGATTTAAATCTAAATGGCCCCTACATAGAATTGGCTTCCAACATATTGCAAGGGCTCATTTGATGTATATAACAAATCCTATCTATTGAGAAACGAATTGGGCTGTTGTAATATCAAAATATTTTATAAAATAGTTACTACATAAATAACGCCACTTAAAAAGTTTAAATTTTCAAAATATTTTTAATATACTGTTATGGAAAGAATAAGCTTATATAGAATAATTCTGTGTCATCATAATTTTTAATGAGTTTGTCTAAGTGTATGCGCGGGTTAAGCCAGCCGTCCAACTTTGAGAAGTAGTCTAACCCAAAACCTTTAAACGATATCTTTAAACAATTTTTATGTTTGGACCGTTTACTTAGAAACTATGTCCTAGTCCCTAAACATATACTTTAATTCCATTTTGGTCTTTGCTGTTAAGCGTGTCCTAAGACCTTTTAAGTAAAACCACAAATTATTGCTAAAGTGATAGTTTGAAGAAATTTAACAACCATTAAAAAATTGTGACACTTTAACAAAGTATCTATTTTGTGGCAGTTTTACTTCCAATACAGTGAAGACATTTAACCACTTATCAGCATAGACCAAATCAGAATAAAAAATACATGTGTAAGGATTAAAAATCATATAGATTCTAAATAAGGGGACCAAAATGTAGAGATTATATGAAAAGGCAACTTATGTTATTCGTTATACAGAGGGAAGAACGAAGTTACTATCCTGAAGAAGATACTAGGAGAAACCTTGGCAAGGATTAAAATACAAAACAATACATGCAGAAAAAGATGTGTCAAACTTTATAAAATAACACATATAATCCCGGCTTGCATCTGCCTTACAAATGCATGTATCTTCTTATTTCCCCGTCCAAAACAGCAGTAGACACAGAAATACTATATATCATCTGCCGGATCCAAACACAGATTTTATACAAACATTAAATTTTACCATTTCAAACATGGTATCGCATATTCAGATAAAATAGTAAGTTGTAATGATTTTTGTAAAATTTTAACAGATTAATGTAGTAATACTTTTCTGAAAGACTAATGCCGTGTAACCGTTCACCAAAATGGCAATTAAGTACCTCTTGCATTTGCAGACTAAAGAACCAAATTTCAGGACTACAGGATAAAAAAAAAAGATAGAGGTTATTGAAACTGACAGTGTACCTGAAAGCTTGACAAATAAAGTTATTGATGACAACCTAGATGGAACAATCTCTCGATTGATGAAGATGAAGTGGTTGGTGGAGACATATCAGATAGTTGTTATGTGGTTAGTTAAGAGAGTGTTATCAAATTAGTTGCAGTGTGCATAAATAAGTAGGAATCGGAACGAGATGGTGTTATGAGTGGGTATTGGTACTGGATTTGCGCAATTGTAATATTGAAGTAATTTCAAAATAGAGTACATACGAAAATGAAATGCAACAACCTTAACCACATAAACAAAATAGAGTATGAAGTGTAAGAAACCTAATAGCGGTGGTTTTTGTCTATCTGAAGAAGATGCGCATTAGAAGCGAGGCATGGTCCTGTAAGAGGAGATTGTGAGATTGATGATGAAAGTGAGATTTAAAAAATGAAGAGAGTGAGAGTAGTACCTGCGGAAAAGAGAAGAGAAGGAAGAGAAGGGTTGTTGAGATCAGAGAGCAGTTTGGAGAATAGAGCCGAGAGTGCCCAAAACAGCGAAAGCGAGAAGAGGACTAACGTCGAGGGTATCAAAAACGGGGGGAATGATGTTACGGAAGAGGTTAAGATAGGGATCGCACAGGTCTCGGATTGCGGACAGAGGCTGCCGTTCCCACGGGATGTTTGGGAACCAACTCAGTAAAACCCTAACCATCAAAACTCCGCTGTATATGTCCAGCCACTTCCCCAGCCCCGCCGCCACCACCGTCAGCGGCGTGTTCAGCACACCGCTCGGCCGGCTCCGCGCAGACGCGAAGAACAGGGCTCCCATGGTCGACACGGTGTTGGCAGTCATATTCAACGAATTCTGGACCGGAATGGACTTGACCAACAACACGGCGAGTCCCATGAGCGTGGTAAGCGTGCGAGTGCCTCCCTTCAGAAGATCGGCGAGGGTTTCCCTGGAGGCGATAACAGGTGGCGTTGGTCCATTGCATTGGCACTTGACGCAAAGTGGTTGAGAATGAGATAGAGAGGTGTTGAAGGTAGAAGATGAAGGATTTGGTCTGCGTAGGAAGAGGTGAGAACGAAAGGGAGGAGTGCAAAGGGAGGTGTGTGAAGGCACAGCCACTGACGAGGCCATCGCCATCTCCAGACAAAGCACAGACACGTAAGTTAGGGATTTGGTTAAGGAGGCGAACCCAATGTTTATCTTTTTCCTCCTCCCAAATATACATTTTATATATATATATATATATATATATATATATATATATATATATATATATATATATATATATATATATATATATATATATATATATATATATATATTTACTTATTTATTATAAATATTACTATTATTATCAAAACTCACGTATGTTTTTATTATTACTCAGATCCTATTTTGTTTTTTTTTTACTGCTAGGCTCCAGATATATTCTTGCTTTATTCATATTATTTATTTTTAAATTTATATTTTCTTTTCTATCCATCACATTAGTAATTCAGTTCAAAATTTTATCACTCTATGCAAAACTAATGATTTTCTTTTATAAAAGATTGTAAATTTTAAAATATTTTTTTGTTTAAACATTTTTATTTCATTCACATACCTAACAACATATTACAACAACAATAATAATAATAATAATAATAATAATAATAATAATAATTTGAAATAACTATTTAAATATTTTTGCCAGCGCCATAAATAACTATTGTTATATAATACTAAAAATGAAAAGTAATCATTTTTAATTCTAACAAACAAAAATTAAAAGAATTATCAAAATCAAAATTCACTTATTTTACATACACTGAAAATATATTTAAGTCTTACTAACTTTTAAATTTAGTGCGTAAGTTAAAGATAATAATAAAATTAATTAAAATATCAATTATTCATTTGCTTATATACGTTATAAGATATAAGATTTGTTTTATACTTTAATTTGTTTTATACTTTGCAATTTATCATTAAAATTTAGCTAATAGATTTAAGATAAATCAAATGATAATAATTATTGATGAGTATCAACAATTAAAAACTATGATAAAGTAAAATAAAAATATGATACGTTTTAAATTAATTATAATAATAATATTCATTTTATAATCAACAATTATCATTACGTTTATCCAATATAATGTATTTGTTTATATCCAAATTGTACTTTTCTTACTTAAAAAAAAATAATGAGATAAAATGGGTTTGGACATCGTTAAAAAACCAAACAGAATAAAGTATTTCGAATTATATTAGTTTATACAATACATTTGCTAGGAAAAAAAAGTTTCTTAAGAAGATAAAATTGATTTTTTGAAATTAAAAAAAAACTTGTGATATTTCATTTCAAATCAAAATATACAAATAGAAATAGATTATCTTATCTCCTAATAAAAGTTATCCTGGAGTATAAAATTTGCAAAAACAAACGTGACGGACATATAAAAAAAAATAATCATCTAAATTAAAAACTGCTGTGACATTATTATGATTACCAACCAAGTCACTCTCAAAATAACATTCTCCATACAGAAACCCTGTATGTGTTTCACCAGGGAATGAAAAATCGGAATGTTCTAGTATAAAACTGATCCTAAATTCAATTGTCGCCCTGTTTTATTGTTAAAAGATGGTTCCACATCATTTCCGGTACACGTGTATTGAGACAGAAGTAACAAATGGTTACTTCTACGTTAGTGTCGTAAAATTGGAAGTGGGGCGTCGTGCATATTGAACACCGCAAAAACAGAGTTTCGCTAATCCAAACTCTACCCATATATTATCCAAGTCAAATTTTTAAGTTAATTTTTTTTGTAAAAAAAAGGCCAAACAAAACTATGAATCAATGTGAGTAACGCAGATTAGTGACTTTTTTTGGCACATAAAAAAGAAAGAATTAAAGCCGCAGAAGAGTTTTCCCCAATGGCATCTGAGGGGAAGGGGAGGGGTTCGCTTTTAGAGAGGTTGAGCTCCTAAGTCCAAGCTTCGCCAGGAAATCAGCAGTTATTTCCTTCCCAGAGAATTTAGAGTAGTGATTTAATCCTCAAAGTCTCCAGCATTCTCCAATAAGTAGTTGGCTGCCAATTGCTCATCACGGTCACAAGCCAAAAATGCCTCTATCACCGAGGCTCTATCAAATCCCATAGCCTCAAGCTACCAATAGTAAGTAAATAACAATCACCACATATTAAGACTGATCAGATAACACAGCAGGAATGAAGATGGCATGTATTAGACTACAAAAAGGAGACATACCCTTCCAATTGCTTCCTGCTCAGCTGGAGTCACATTGATGGCATGAGGCATGTCTTGCTCAGGCTGGTCAAACATATCTCTGACAAAAAAAGATGGATTCGTTTATATTTCAAAATTTACGTGAATATAAATGATGCAAGTAAACTCCTAATTCTATATTATATGAGAATACGATATCGAGCTAAAATGTAGATACGTTCCTCTCATATTGCATACATGGGCAAAATGGACAACCAGCAATTGAAACAGTACATGAAGAATTCGAGTAAACCATAAATTTCATTGTCGAACAATTATTCTCTCTCCTACGTAGTCCCTGAAGTAAAACAAACTACGCAAGTCCTGAAAGTATTTGAAATCATATTAAGTAGTCCTCAAACTATTAAAAAATCCTTCAATTTGCTCCCTAAACTAATAAAATACATAAATAGGGGGATTAAAGTAAAATGTATTCAATACTTTAAAGATTACTTAAACAATTTTATTACTATGGACCACTTAGGAGAGAGTAAAAGTTTGGGGATAAAATAAATGGAAATGAACCATCATGTAGTAGTTATGAAATGTAAAACAGACTTGATATGCCATATATAGCAAGCAATAAACTCACCCTTCAGAACCCTCAACAGGTTCATTTATCAACTGGAGAAACTCCCCATGATGTTCTTGAATCAGTCTTAAAAGACTGGGATTCTGCTTACCAAGTTCCTGAAGCACAGGCTGCAATAGAAAGTGATGAGCATTACACATCAAGAAATGTCCAATAGTCAGGAAGGTAATTGAGAAAATTAATACCTGTAGAATTTGTGGATTGGATTGCACCATTGAACGCAATGCTTGAAACTGGAAATGCAGACAGACAAATGGTCACTTTAAAACTATAAAAGTAAAGATTGAAGCTAGATACAACAATAATAACAAGAAGCCTTATCCCAATGGGTGGGGTTGGCTACATGTAAAAGCTTGAAACCAGAATAGTCAATATCATGAAGTCGCAGCATGTCACAGGCTGATACTAATCCTGAGCATGTCATCGTGGTGCAAATCGCTCCTTTGGCAATCGCTCCAAGTGTGACAGTCGTAGGACTTTTTACCCCCTTTAGTATCATTTTATGTTTTAGTGCGGGTAAACTAGAGCTATTGCTCTGCACCACTATTTGGTATTGATTATTATGCTTCAAACACGAAAGAAACAACAAACACAATCTATTTACTAGGCACAGCAATCAATTAGAGTGTATTTGGAATCAGAATGCATTAGAAATACCGAGGTAGAACCATGCTTCACAAAATCATCTTTACTAACGGAACTTCTGTAAGATAAAAGGATTGGAAGGAAGCTTCAGGATCACACGTCTTCCTTTTCAGCAGAGGAACAAGGTACATCATAAGTCAGTTCAGCAAGACCCACCCTCGGCTTGAATGACAAAATTAGAGACCATTCATACCATGTCATAAGTTTAGATATCTGGAAAGAAATGGTGACAAAAAGGGAGACAAAAATCATAGGATTCAATTTCAGTGGAAGAAGTGGATGAATGCCTTAGGGTTATCTATGATAGAAAGGTTCATCTTGAGCTAAAAGGAAAGTTTTATTACACATATATACTATTAGAGATGTTTTATGGTGGCATTGAACATGAGATGATAAAGGGCAAGAAGATCATAAGTGTCGTGGGGATGAGAAATTTACATTGAATGAATGGTGTGGTCACAGGACAAAATAAACTAAGTAACTCCTGAAAAAAGATAGTATATTTGTGCCCAAGATGTTTTGGATGTGATTAAAGAAAGAAGCCTCACTTGGAAGGGTATATCAAATAGAGAATAGACCTATTGCTAAACATTGAAGACAACCAAGAGAAACTGAGAGAAATCATTACAAAATGGTCTCTCCCGAGGAATGGTTTTTGACAAACTACGATGATGTTATACATTAATGTAGCCAATCCAACCTACAGGAATAACAGATTTTGGTTCTTGAATAATACAAAGGGTTAAGATAAAATATAATACATGACAATAAATTATTGATGGTTTATTCAATGCTACTTCCTTCTTTAGTCCTTTCTTAACATTATTTAAGAGAAATAAGGTTATTTCTAAATTGGCGTTTGACACTCATTCTTTAAATTGTTAATGTTACCTGTACCATGGACACATCGTATATGATTTCAAGAGTCAAGGTGCAAAAGTTGCCTGGTTTCATGTGTCTAGTTTCGTCAACACAAAAATTGAATATACTAAACCTAAAACTGTCTCTAGAGTTTTACTAAATTTTCAAATAATTTCCAATACTTAATTTTTTTTTTTTTACAAGATCCCTATACTTCCAAACAAATTTAACGAGGTCCCTATAGTTTAATTAAGTTTTCAATTAGGATTTAAGCCTATTAAATGCCAATTTTCGTAAGTCATTGGTATTTATAATGTCAACATGAATGGCCTGCAGAAGACTTTGTTGAATTTAGACGGGAGATTTAGATAGAAAGAGAACAGAATATTTCAAAAAGAATTTACAAGATAGCAAGATTGTTATTCAGGTAGAATATAGTATCTACGTTTTGCTCACCATCCCTATATCTGCTCTTGGTAGACCTAGTGAAGACTATTTCTGATCATTATCATAAGTTATGCTACTACTACGTAGACACTAACCCCATGAATACCAAATGCATTCTAAATGTGATACATGAACCACATATACTTCTGACAGACTGCAAGCATACCCCTTAACTTGATAAAAATTTTCTAGAAATATAAGAACTCTAACACTTTAAACTACCAGTTGGATAGTGAAGAATATGGCTTCTGAAATAAAGAGAAAAACAATTGATGGAGCACCAAGCTCACCTGGGGATTATTTCTAAGGAAGTCCAGTGATCCAAGCCCGGCACCAGTACTAGAAATTGTCTCCTGATAGAATTTCAGCTTGAAGTAAAGCATAAAAATAATAGAAATAGGTGCATACAGAAAAAGGAAATTACTAAGGATGATCCATTTAGTACCATAAGTTTTACCTGAGGGAACATATTTAAGGGAGATGAATTAGGTCCTACAGGAACTGCTCCAGCAGTAATCCCAGCTGTTTCAGTTGTTTGACTACCTGGGTACTGAGGAACTGGCACAGCAACTTCTGCTGCTTCAGGTATTCCCTGTGAAACACACACAAAAGAATGAAGATTTTTTAATCCAGACATGTACAACTGAAAATTTAAACTGTCAAAAAATACAAGCAGTTAAGACATACAGAATACAAGTAATCTATAGCACGCTCTGGGTTATTATAAGCTGCACGAAGAGCACGACTAACTGTGTCTCTGTCCCAATTGCCACCACCCATGTCCACGATTTGTTGAATAGTCTGCTCAAGATTACTGCCAGCAACTAAATTTGAAGCAGCCTGACCATAAGTATCTGAGGAAACACTGGAAAATGACAAAGAGGCAATATTTAGAAGGCTTTTAATGATAAGGAAAGAAAACAATGTTAGTGAAAAACAACTCATCCTAATGATGTTGTCGAGACAAACAAAAAAGAAAGATAGCATGATGCTTATGATAAAAGAAACCACAAAACATCTTACGTTACATAATAACTAGGATCAGCAAATATCAAATTATATTTAAATGAATAATACAATAATCAAATGAATCCCTCAAAAAGCATTCAGTAAAATTATTTCAATAAATAACACACTGCTTCTGATATTACAATGTCAGCATCATAATAACTCATTTGGTTAAAAGAACTGTTTACCATTATCTAAAGGAAAATGTAGAGACAAAAACCATACTTAGTAGTTGGGGCATCTGTGCTAGATCTACTGTTGTTTGCAACCCTGAAAAACCAGATAAAATAAATAAGGAAAATGTGGCTGGCTGGCTGATAAAGAAATCAACCACCTCAAAGATAGACTCACTGAGTTTGCACTGGAGGATCAGAAGCAGGGTTGGAATTGGATGTTGATACAGTTGTAGCAGGATTGCTAGCAGGCTGACACAATTTCACCATATTAAGACAGAGAAGGAAAACTGGAAAAGAAAGAAAACTACCTAAATTGAGTGAGCAATAGATACCTGAATAGATGGAGCTGCAGCAGAACCCAACGCTTTACTCTTTAAATAGAGAAGTAAAATAGAAAATTGTGGTTAAAGTTAAACAGTGTCTCATACAATAATGTCTTAACTGAGTAGATCTAATTGAAATGAAATGATATTATATGAAAAGATTTAATGCCTCCCATAATGTCAAGATAAAACATCAGGGGTGAGAGAATCCAAGCAAAAGATTGCTATCATTTTTAATTTGTTAAATCAATAAATCTATCTATCTAAAAACTAAACAAATAAATGTTACTATCAACAAGTAAAGCACTTGGTTTCCATTTTAAATCAAGAAATTGAAAGCACTGGGCGGCCGACATTTGTGGATTTGAGGCCTTTGGATTGAAAGTAACAACCATGCATAATCACTAATACAGGGTAAACATATGAGAGCTCAAACGACAGTAAGTAAGTAGGTGGCTTGCCTAAGCAGTTGTTTGACAAAGCATTCTTGAAGGAAGAAATATACCTTACTGAGCATAACAACAAGAAAGCCATCTTCAGAGACTTTGTTCTCAACCAATGTAGTTTCATCTTTCAAAACCTTGCCATTGTGAATCAACAATTGCTGTCCACATGGGTAATTATCTTTGCCCTGTACATCTTCAATATTCTTCTTGACAGCCATAACCTGATGTTCAAGAAGCAGGATAACTTATCTAAATAAATAAGGATAATTTCAGCTGATAGACAGAACTCGCAAATAGCACATCAAAAATTTACTGAATAGAACATAAAGCCTCGTGACACATTCATATTGTAACTATGAATTCGCATCAAAACAAACATGGAACCGGGAATATAATCAGTGTAATGCATATACAAGGGAGCAAAATACATGAAACCCAGTCAATTCAGTAGCAACAGTCTTCAATAATACCTAAAACAACATCTGCATCTGGGGACGGAGTATCACACCCGGAAAATACAAAATCCTTGCAATAATAATAATAATAATAATAATAAAAGTGATACTAGCATCCAGGGAATACTAAATTAATTTGAACAATGTTGGTGGGAAATGAAACAAACGTCTGTGATAAAATACAAAAAACATCAATGGCGGAAGAATTTGAACAATAAAAATTATGGCAATGATTTGGAAAATAATGGAGAAAAAGTAGGCATCCAAAATTTGAACATATCAATCAACAGAGTACAGATGTTTTACTCAGTGGAAATGAAATAACTATAAATACTGATATCGAAGAGAGCGAGGAGAGGGAGACGGAGAAATAGAGAGAAAGAGCTGAATTGAGAAGGAGATTACTGACAGTGTCGGAGGGCTGAACCCTAATTTCGAAATGGCTCCCTTTCAGAGTCTTCACTGTGAGCTTCATGTCGCCGAATTATCGGAATGACGCCGGAAATGGCAGCGATCCGATGAAAGCACAGTAGTGGAGGGGGAAACCCTAGACTAGAGAGAGAAACAATCTAGTCTGTCACAGTTGTAGAGGATGAACACGTCAACCACGCCGGTAATGCTCTTTTTCTACTCTCCAATTTTTCTTTCTAACCTAAATTAAATCCCACTAAACTAAATGATGTTATCATACCTTTTTTTTTTTTTTTTACCTCTCTTCTAATAGTTTATGTGCCTCTCTTAATGTATTAAAATTACCTTCATTTTATACTCGTGTGTTTTTCATTTTATTATTTAAATTTATAAGTTAATTCTACCATTTTTAATCCAAAATTATTAAGTATTACCTTTATTAAAAAAAATAGAATAAGATTTTTTAACCCCTAAAATAACTCTCGTAGTGAAAAAAAAAATAGAAAAACACATTTTTAAAGAGAAAGGAACAATTTTACTAACAAAAAGAAATTATTTGAGTTGATTTTCTTTATTGTAAACCCTTGGAATTTAAGTAATGAATGTGACTATTTATAAAATTTGATTAAAGAAAGTTGAAAATCACAATAGAAAGATTTAAAATAGTTTATGTGAAACATTATTTTTTTATATGATTAAGTTTGATCTAGCTTAAGAGAATAAAACATATATTTTTTAGAATCACAAATAATATTTTATCACAATAATGTTGTTCACTTCGATGAACCTATGTTTCTTCAAAAATCAAAACCAACTATAAAACGTATAGTTTGAAAATTCATTTAGTGCAATCTCTGGATTACAGAGATTTTTGAAAGTTGACATTACGATAATTGAAATTTTTTTATGAAAGTTTGGTCATGTGTTCTGTTAAAATTGATTTAGACCAACTAATTGTTAGAATGTATTCATGGAAAAACTGTTCAAAGTCAAATAAAAAGACCTTCATCTATTGTATAAGCATGGTACATTGTATGCCATACAATTAGATAATGCTTAAGCCATAATAACAGCACATGCAAGAAGATGATTGACCTTCCCTAATAATGAAATCAGTCATGCAAAAAAGAAGAGAGAGGATATTTGTATAGTGATTGGAATATGTTTACAATTAATACAATGTGATCGTTTCATAGAACATCACATAATGATTTTAAATTGACTTAAAAATGCAAATGAGTATCTAAACCTAAATTTGAGTTTGTGGGCCATTTGCCAATACCATTTTCCAAACCGGTAATGTTGCAAGCATAAATGGAAATAAAAAAAATGAAAAAATCAAGGACTTACATATAGAAATGAATTTCACCTCACCAATTTCAAATAATGGAGTTTGTTTATGTACATGATATTATGACAACATTCTTATCAAAGTAAAGTTGCACCAAATAGGAAATGCAATGTGCTACATTAGAAAGGAATTGGTAATATAATACAAGTAGGGAAAACAATGTATAAATTGAATGAGATAGTAGTTAAATTAAAACCCAATGCATTCCAAATTTGATTATAAGATCTTTTGTTCTACCATGATTCAAATATTTGTGTTTCATTTTTTTTTTATAAATGTTAAGAAATGTACAAATAAAATAAGTTATCTAGACATGACCATATTCAATTATTGGGATATTTTCTCAAATTAATATCTCTTTAATAAATATTAATAAGACAATATACTAATCAATGGTTAATACCACAATAAAGATAAATGATTATTATTATTAAACATATATCTTTATTACTTAGAATATCTCTTAAAGAAGTTTATAAATTATGTCTTCTTACAATTTTTAGATTATATGTTACTTTGATAGAAAAAGATATACACTTATTATTGACTTAAGTATTAGAATGTTTTTATAGGTGGACTTCTCTTTCGTTCTTGGAGCAACTGGAAGTCATCCCGTATTCGAATAGATACTTGTTCGTGATCAAATCAGATCTTCTAAATTGTTTGTGATCAAAGTCATGAAATCCAATCTACCAAATTATTTTAATTAAAGCTTAAGTTTAGGACTTAGGGCTAAGACTAAAGCCTATTGACTAGAGCTAATGTTGAGGTTGAGGCCTATGGGCAAGGGCTAGGTCTAAGGCTAAGACTAGGTCCATGGCTAGGGTTAGGGCTTAGGTCCATGAATTAAGGCTAGAACTTAAGGCTAGGGTTAGGGCTTATGGGCTAGTGCCTTGAGGCTAAGGCTAGGGCTAGAGGTAGGATTTATATCTAGGGTTAAGGCTTTGAGCTAGGACTTATGTTTAAGACTTAGGGTTAAAATGTAAGGCTAGGACTTAGGGCCTAAGGGCTAGGGCTTAAGGCTAAGAGTTAGGACTAGGGACTAAGGCTATGGCTAAGGTTAAGACGAAACATAGAACCTAACTTTAGGGACTAGGGGCTAAGGCTAAGGCTAGAATTAAGGTTAGGACTTAGGGCCTAGGGGTTAGAGCTTAGGCTAAGGCTAAGGCTAGAACTTAGGGCTATGACTTACGGTCTAGGATTTAAGGTTATGGCTAGTGCTAGGACTAGGTCTTAGGATAAAAATAAGGCTAAGGCTAAGGCTAGAACAAGGGTTAGGGCTAGGACTAAGACTTAGAGCTTAAGGCCAAGGCATAGGTTTAGGATTAGAACTTAGGGTTAGAGTTGGGGCGAGCTAGAATTAGGGCTAGGGCTAGAGGTATGGCTAGGGTTAGGGCTAGAACTAGTGGTTATGACTGTGGGTTAGGGCCCAAGAGCTTGGTTAGGGCATATGATTAGGATTTAGGGACTAAGATAGGCTAGGGGCTAGGGATAGGAATTATGGGCTAGGATTAAGATTAAAATGCAAGGCTAGGACTTAAGGATACGACCTAGGGCAAGTATATAAGGTTAAGACTTAAGGTTTGGACTTAGGGCTAGGGTTAACACTAAAACAAACACTAACACCAATATTAACATTAATACAAATACAAACACAAACATTAAAATTAACACAAATACAAACAATAACATTAACGATAACACAAATACAAACATTAACACTAACACAAAGACAAATATTAATCCAGACATAAACACTATTACTAACACTAATCCTAACACAAACACAAATAAAAACAAAATAAATAACAGAACCAAACACATAAACACTAACATTAACACAAACACACAAAAAAAAAAAACACAAAAGCAAACATTGATGACAATATTCTGATTGCACAAAAATATTGATAAAAAAATAAACAAGTTGCTAAACAAATATAGTATAACTAACCTATGTTGAATTTCACTATGACATAACTACATGAACGTACTGATTGCCAAAAATCATTATACCTAAAAACAGTAGATAATAAATAAGGGATTGATGATAGTAAAATGAAATAATAAAAAAAAACAAATTAATAAAAATTAAAATCAAATTACAGTAGAAAAATAGTGACAATTAAACTTAAATTGAAGCAAAATTTAAATAATTAGAATTGATAAAATTAAAACAAAGTGTTTTTAATTAAATTTAAAAATTGTCCGAATAAAGTATAGAATAAAAAATTACTGTAAAATAAAATAGTGTAGTAATTAAATTTAAATTTTTTTTAAAGTGATAACCCTAAAATTAAATTGAGAATTGCATGTGTAACTAAGTATTAAAAGAAAATTGAACAATGAAAAAATGGATTCAAAAATTAAAATTTGTGCACATGAGTGAAATTGCATGAAAATAGTAAAATTGTAATTAGAATCAAGAAATAGATTAATTGAAAATAAAAATTAAGCAGAACTAGAATAAAATAAAAATTCTAAACAATTAAATAACAAAAATTAAATTGAGGACTAAATGAATAAAGTAAACATAATAATATAAACTAGAAAATTTAATAAAAATTGTAAATTAAATAAAAGAGAACAAACCGAAAAGTGTAATAGCAGTATATGAGCTTGCATAACTAAAAACTAAGAACAAAAAAGAAAATGGGGACGCGAAAAAATAACAACTCACCCGGAGAATGAGATTGTACTTTTATGCTCTCTTATCAGACCTCTATTTAAAAGCGCTTAACTAAGAGAAAGTAAGTCTAAAATTAATTAAAATACAATCAAATGTTTCCTCAATTAAAAATTATAGCACTGGATTATTATGTAATGAAAAAAAATTTAGATTAATTTTGAGGAAATAATATGTTTCTTTCCTATTTGAAGTAGTGTTAATTTGCATTTAACTCTTAATTTTTGTTGGTCTTTAATTAAGCTAAATTGGATTCTTGCAACAGATAATTTATTTAATTCAAAATTTGCATTAACATTATGCAACTGGACTATACAAACAAACTTGCGATTCTGAGAAGAGTGAAACTCAACTGCATCAATTTGGTCATTTATTTTCGTTAATTTGACTCATCTTAAATTACCTTTCTTCTAAAAAAAGAAAAAAAAAATGCAGTGTGAATATATGCATGTGTGCTTTGATGTTAAAACTATGCAAAATGCAACAAATTAAGAAAAATAAAATTATACTACGCTTTTAATGAAAACATGTTAAATGCATAGTTTATGAAGAAAATAATTAGCTTAAAAAATGTTTTTAGATCAAGAAATAAATGGTAAAATAACATACATCAAATACTCCTCATTTTTACTCTTTTGTATTTCTAAGAAAAAGATAAAAGAAAGAAAAGAATGAATGCATGTAATGCAAAGATGATATTGCTACAAACGTTAATGGCATCTAGAAAAATACAATGGTCAGTAAAAACTTCATCAATATAAAATGAGAGAATAAAAAAAATATCAAGATCATAACTCATAGAGCATCATCATGGGCAAATACTCTTTAATGGTTCCAAGACTCATTTCAAAGGAACATTCTCTCTATTAAAGTGTTTAGTCTAATATTTTAAGTGTTTATGCTGAAAATTTCACTCATCATCATATGATGACGTCATCCTTTACCATAGGCTTGAAAGATTTATAAATTCCTACCATTAGAAGACATATCTAAGTATATTAATAGAACTTTTACTTGGCTTGTAATG